TGTCGGGATTTCAAGAAAGATATTCCTTTTACTTATCAGTAGAGATCGTAAAAGATACATGTAATTTTAACAAACTAGAAGAAAAATATGAGTTTTGAGTCACTATTCTCCGTAATGTTTGTGCGGTTTTTAAAACCAAAAAATATGAGTTTTGAGTCACTAATCTTTCAAAATGGTTTCTAACACTTTTTTTTTGCGTCAAAATAGTTTCTAAATGATGTTTTAATTTTATATTAAGAAAATGTGATTCGTTTTTATTAAAACACTATGCGTTAAAAGATAATCATATTCTACCATCACATGAACTCTTTGTTGGTTATTTTTATTTTATTTTTTTGAAACCCCTTTGTTGGTTATTGAGATCATTTTATGTTTGTTATGACTTCTCGTCGCATTATACGTTAGACTGTTAGTGACTTAGTGTCTCATATTTTCTAGTCCATACGCCTCCCAAAATGGCCTTACCAACTAATCAACAATCTGTTTCCTTTTGGGACAATTTTCTGTTTATTTCTCGTAATTTAAAGTACATGCACACAACTGCAAATCCGTTATTATACTTGAAATACATAAACTCAAAGTTCATAATCACATTTTAACATAAAGTAAATGTGAATTCAATATTGTAACAAGTGAATTCAATATAATATATTTTCTTTCGCATTTCATTATAATTTGAACTTTAGATTGATGGTCATAAATTTTGGTTGAAAATTCAGGTTAATGGTCATAGTTTTATGTTGGATTAAAAAGGGATTAAGTTAAAATATAATATGGTTAGCACTTAGCAGTTAGCACTAAGCACAAGGACGCACTTTCCCTAGTGGAAATGTTTGTGATGGGATTATATGGTGGACCATCCCTCGTATTTAATTCAACGGCTCCCCTAAGAAACGAATAATATTCGTTTTAATTAGTTTCTAAATCACCATTTGTTGAAAATATAAGCTAAACCATTAATTTATAAATATATAAATCCCTTCTTGAAACATTAACTTAAACTCTAAATATACACTCGACATCGCTATCTATTTGTTAGGTCAAAACTCAAAAGACAATACAAAAGGAATTTCTTGCAGTCATGTGACTCTTTTCAACTACATTATATCCCTATATAATGTATTTTTGTGTTTTTATATTTCCACAATAATTTTGGACTCATTATAATTATGATTATAAATTATAGAGATAAGAGGTAAAATCACCATATATATGTAATCAGCAGGGTTTGTGCCTTTGTGGTACTAATGCATGTTAGGTTACCGTTCAAATTCTATTTCGCATATTATATGCTAATATTAAAAAGAGGCTGATATTTTATGAAACGTATTATTCAGAATTTACTAATCGCAAATTTTATACAATCCTTGGATCATAGGCTCGTGTCCATTTTTTTTTTTTTTTGCCAACTCCTTTAAAAAACTGAAAAAGTTGAAGAAACACGACAATTAAGTTGCTGCTTTACAAAAAAATAATATGAAAATTGAAAAGTGAAAACTCAGCCAATACATTACATACCATTTGTACCACACACACTGCCCAGGTTTTCCATTTGTTAAGGAATACTCCTTCGATATTCTCTAGAAAAATTTTTTTGTATTAAATTAGATGATTTTTTCAGTTTTCAATACAAAATTAAACGTGATTTTATTTGATATAATTTTTTATATTATGCAGATTTATTTACTATTGGTTAAATTGTAAATAATTGGATGATAAATAATGTTTTATTTAAGAAAATTAAAGAATTTAATGTTTTTTTAATTTGTGTGTCAAATCTTTAAAAATCAATTATTGTGAGAGTATTCCATAACTAGCCAGAAATTAAAATAATCAGATGATTTTTTTTTTTGTTGCCGAAAAAAATGATCAGATGATTAAATAGTCTTTTGGTGCTTCCATTTCGTTTAAAAAAGATTTCATTCAAATGATTTAGTATTGCATTCAGGCAATATAAATTGAAAATCCACTGTGCACTCGTTTATAGATATGAGTTTATTAATGGGAAATTAGGTGGTATATTACTCATTAGTCATATAATTTATTATCTAACACCACATAAAACAAAATAAAGAAACTAACACTCTAACAATGTGAGATTCTAATTTTGCCCCTATTGTACTTATGGTAAGTGATTCCATAACAAAAATTATTTTCTCTATAATAAATAGTCATATATCACATTTCCATAATTATTTCTTTTAATATATTATGTCTCTCATTTTTTTTTATGTTTATAAAAATTGATCAAAGATAGTATAATACAAACACATGACTAGGTAACAAAATGTGGTCGTTAGACAGCCTATGTTATCATAATAAATTATTATGATATTAAATAGTTAACT